TTAAATACCCAAGTTAAATACATTTATAAATAAGTCACTTAATTTTTTTGTCATTAATTCTAATTTTTACAATTGTTTAAGACTTTGGATTATTTGTTAAAATGTCATAATTAATATTATTAATAGAATAGTATACTATGTAATATCATATCATATTATTCTATTTTATCAATTTACTATTTGCTATTTCTATTTTAGAAATTGGAGTTTTCACGAAAAAAAATATTATTTGAAACTAGGAGATGTTATTATTGTCAACTTTATTTGTTAATTATATTAGACCCGTTTGAATGTTTGATGCAAAATGTAACTCACTTTTTTAAATGTTGGCCTGTATTCACGATAATTTTTAACGAGTAATTATTTATTTTAATAAATAGAAAATCGTTTAATGTGCAGATAAAGTAATTAATAGGTGTTAAATTATTATAATATACCTTTTAAATAAAAATATACTGAAGCATTTTTTGAAAATGTTTACGAGTTGATGAAAACAATTATTTAAAAATTGGTATTTAAGTTTTTCTTGTTTTAATGTTTTTGAAAACATGAACAAAGGAATTTATTTTTCTAAACCCAATTTTTATGATTTAATAATAAATAAGTGCCCAAATCTTTTTTATAGAAATATACAAGTAAAACTAATAATTGATATGTTTTTTTTATCGAAGTTTAACACCCTATATTTCTTTGACACCCAATATTTATGCTATCTGTATATATCTTAATATTTACTATAGTTGTTTGTCACGATCATTCATATCCAAAAAGTTGGCAAATTTAATTCAAACTACAGTTTGCAAAAAAATACACAATAAATTCTTAAAAAATGGAAATCAAATAATAAATCATAAAAATGTAAAAAATACTGAAACGATGTTTTTATAGCGTTTCGATAATTTTACTGATATATTCCTGTGATTAACATCTAAAAACAGAGGGACAACATTGGAGAAAGGAAAACATTTAGAGAATGATTCAAATATAATAAATAAATAAAATTTTATATTTATTTTTTTAAACACACAACACATTTTTGATATTTCAAACATTGTTTGTATTATGTGTGTTTGATTAAATACAACACATAAAATTATAATAATGTTTATTATCATAATTTACAAACCTTTAACTTCTTTTATTTTTTAAATATTCACATAAAAAACTTTATAATTAAACAAATATTCTTGTTTTTAATTAGTTTTTAAAGTTCATACATCAAAAAATTTAAATGTCTAAATAAATTGTATTTTATGTTTATTATAGTTGTTTTATGGTTTGGTTTAACAAACGAACAAAAAAGCTTTTTAAAAATTTTAAAGGCCGAAAAAATTGTATAAACAAATTCTTATTTAGTCTTTTTGAATTGTTGTTAAACTACAAATACAAATAAGACGATTAATCATTGAAAACAAAAAGACAATCTTATAACAAACATTATAAGTGAAATGCTTTTTAAATGTTATTTAAAGTAGAAATGCCCATAATCACAATAATCATAATAAGTACATTGAAAAGAAGTTTATAATCTTTATTTTTTGAATATGTTTTTGTGAAAGCAAATTCTTGATCTTTTGTTCAAGATATTCACAGACAACAGAAAGTGGACTGATGCTTCCGTTACAACTTATGTGGTAAAGGGTTAGAAGTCTGTACATTACCTTTTTATTTTGAATAAAAATACAATCAAATATAACACTCTTATGACAATACATTTGAAAAAAAGACATTTGTATCATATTTTTAATGATAACATTGAAAACTCGCAATATGATTTTAAATTAACAATGTCTATATAAAAATTGATTGAATGTTTGGGTAACAGTAAATTATAATTATTACAATAACCCCTTCACGAATTTTACGTGCTTCTTCATGATTTACCAAATTTTCAAAATATTCTAAATTGTGCAAATTTGTTATTAAATAAATTTTTATTATTACATTAAACACGGCTTTAAACCAAACCATTTTGATTGATAATTAATATATAAATGGAATTTATTATCATTCGAATATTTTGAAGTTGTTTTACAAAATGTTTCATCATAATTTGAATTACTGTTTTTATTATACTTATTATTTGAATACAGTCAAAGGCGCTAATTTGTCGGTTTCTCTATTTGTTGGTTTTATCTATTTGTCGGTTAAATGACCAATTAAAATGCAAAACCGACAAATAGGTTTTTTATTCTGGAAACTTAAACTTTAACCGAATAATTGATTAAAATGGCTTCTACCCGTTCTTAGAAGATTTAGTAAATAATTGTAAAAATTATCTAATTTGTTTTAGTCAACAAAGCAATATGAATTATTAAACATTTTTTTCTAATTGCATTATTAAAACCGTTATTTATTCATATGATTTTTTTGTTTCTTGATATGGCAAAATAAATCGACATTTTTATACGAAGTTGAAACAAACAATTTTATTGTTTGAACTCTATCCTTTGCTGTCTTTGATACTCTGCATACAATCAAGTGTGTAGATATCCAATTCAACTATGTATGCAGCAAGCTC